CATCATCTCACTATTAAAAATCAGTCATTAAACTATTTTATTGATAAAGATAAAAATTAAAAGTTTTATTTGCAAAGTCGATTCTTTCTTTTATCAGAATTATTACTAATATATGATGATAATGTCATTGAAGTCAGTAAAGATGATAATGGAGAATAGAAGTAGTAGAAAGTGGTTTTGGATGTTTTTAATAATATTATAAAAAACTCACTGCGCATGCAAATTTCAATGTTCATGCAATTTCCCATGATTATTTGTTAAGTAATATATAATGAATGAATGAAATCTTATATAATTGATAACGTTCATGTCTAGTAGTATGCATATTCGTGACCCTTAACCCCCCACATTCGGATATTCGAAAACTTTTGGACATAATATTCGAGTTATTATTATATTATATTCGAAGCTGTAAAAGAAATTCTCCTTTGAAGATTTTTTTTTTTGTATATTGAACATGTGACATCAGATCAATTTTATTGAATGTACGCAGCATCAGTATTGTGTTACTTTCAGAAATTTTTAACGTAATAATATTTATTATTTATAACTATTAACTTGTTTTATTCTCATGTTACTGCTACTGCTACTTTTATTGCTACTGCTATCCTCTCTGCTTTTAACATTTGATGCATTTATGTTAAAAGTTGAACAAATTTCATAAATGTTTTATAGGAAATGATATAATATAATATAAATAAACTTGATTATTATTATTATATACATATCTATTAAATGAAGTATTATAAATATTTAAAACGAAGATGTCAATTTTCTAGTTGATAAAAACAAACATTGCTCTAAAGTTGTAATATCTTTTCATTAGTGTTAGACAGTTGATTAATTAATTCTTGCAGTTGTTAGTCCACTCCTTTATTTAATCCTGGAATGTTGGGCATGAATCGTTCTGCTGAGTAGACAGATATAGTTCCCCCTCATGAGTAGGTTATTTCGTAAGCCTTGGCTCTATTAATTTCTTCTTGTATATCATCAGGTAAAGAACGGACTAACTGCTATAGATAATTCAGGTCGTAACCTTTCCATAAACATTCTAGACCTTACTGTGGCTGGATAATTGTTCCTTCTGTGTTAAATGCTTCTGAACAATTCAAAGATATGTACTGCAAAAGCATCTACAGTGTTTTTTTAATTCAGCTGCCTATCCTTACAAAACTTCTTGTATTGCACCATTGTCAGTCTGACTGTTCCAGTGTTGGAATTACCTTGAGCTTGATTCCACCAAGTGGCTGTTCCTGCTTTTAATCTTGGTACTGCCATTTCTACTTTCCAATCATTTTCTACTCTATTTGCAACAAAGGCTTGTTCTATTTCTTCTATCCAGGTAATTGGATCTCGGTCTCATCCTAAATAATATGGGTATTTTACATTGCTTAATTCCGCTGGTACAGCTGCTGGTGGTGGTGCTATTGCATTTACCAATTGAGCAAGTGTATTTGCAAGAGCTTGTATATCTTGTGCATTCATTGGGACTTGGTTTGGCTGTTAGATTTACTATTGGCTGGTTTAAATCAAAAAAGTTTTCGAGACCTGGAATAGAATCTTCGTTTGAGTCACTATCTGAGTTATCACTTAATTCATAATTGCTGCTTGGACTATTATTTTCTTCATTTTTTTGTTCCACAAAACTTATAACTTCGTTTGGTGCTAATGTAAATAAGTTAGTCATAGCTGCTATTGTTATATAATCTTGATATAATTGGGTAAAATCTTCTGGTATCCGATACTAATTAATAATACTTTGGGGACTTGTTATGGATCGTGTTCTGTTAATAAATGCTCAAAAGCAAGGACAGTATTAGAAGTGCAATTTATAGCTTGATAATTATCAGTTATCCGATTCCAAAATGCGAGGAATTCTGGTGAGAAGCTTTGACGTAATGGATAACATTTTGAGCAAGATAGATGAGTTATAGATGTTAAACGTGAATATAATTGATGTTGTCTTTTGTGTCCTAAAGTATTTCTTTCAATAATATTAAAGTTCATTCAATTAATCCTCGTAAGGCAAATCGTCTGGGATATCTTCAAAAGAAATTTCCTCCAAGATAATATTCTCCTTTTTAATTAAATTGTTGCAACTCTCCTTTTCTTTTGCAGTGGTACAACAAAGTGGCTTCTGAAAGATGAATTCCATTTTTCCCGCTTCTGTTAGTCCTTGGACTTTACAATATTTTTTATGTGTCCTTTACTCACAAAAGTAACAAGATTTATTTTTATAAATATTTTCAGTTGATCCCGATTGGTAATGTAAGTGGGATAGTTGTTGAGGATTTTTGTAGAAATGTTGAAGACTAGATCAATTAATTGTGGATCTCTAATCCTTCCTTCTAAAATTTGTTGATATACTTTAACAAAGGTTTCTGATTTAATATGTTCCGAATTAAATTCTTTTAAATTGCATTTAAATTTGTAAATTAAAAGTATAAGAAAATGAATTGACCTCGTAAGGTATGAAGTAAAGGATAAAGAAGTAAAATAAAGAAATACAAAAATAAGATAAAGGAAACATAAGGAATATGAGAAATGAAAATCCGTAGATTATATTTTTGATTTCCGTTAACACATTAATATTAATATTAATATTAATATTAATATAAAAAAATAAAATTTTACCGTGTTACTATTGCTGTCTTTTTCTAAATTCAGTAATTTGTCGTTTTTGCGCAGAGTTTTGGCAGTCATTAAGAAGTTTCAGCAAGCAACCTTATTAGAGACAGTCAAGAATCAGGAAATACAAGGTATTCTCTTGAATTGCAAGCCAATCAACAAGAGATGAACAAACAAGCCCAAGAAATTCAGCAATTAAAACAGGAATTATATTTAGCCAATAAGCCTTTGCCAGTCTTACCAAGGAAAAAATGCAAAATGGAAACAAGAGCAAATAATTGAAGTAAAACCAGACCAACTTATGCCAATTCTTTTTTATCAAACCTATTTTTAACTTTAATCATTAAAAGATAATATGAGGCATGCTGCAACAAAATCAGACAAAGTGAACATTGGTTTTACCAAGGACTTCAGGATTCAAAATTTAGTTATTATCATCGCATTTGTTTTGTAATAGTAATATATAGTAATTTAATAGTGCCCAAAAGTACAAACACGTAAAAGTGTGATCGATTTTCGGTAGTGATACGCAAGAGCGTCCTGGACTTTTTTACATGGAAAAATGATACCTGAAGGCAATAAATAACTATGTGAAAAAGGTTTCTAGAGCGCGAAAATATAACTTTTGGTAACACGCAAAGGTAGAATAATATAAGGCAGAGATAAAGAAAAGTTAGTTTTATGAACCCGAGTAATGGTAACATGTTTTTTTTTTAATATTTACTTTTATATCGATTTTTATATTAATATTTTTTATATATATTTAGGAACATGACTTCTTTTCCAAAGGTTAATGGTTAAACGAAATCAGAAAGAATTATTTTATTTATTATTAATTATGATATATTCTTGTAATAACAATTATATTAATTATACTATAATCATTTTTAGAAAATAGGTAGAAAACTTAACATCAAAATCCTAATTGATATATGGTTAAGTTAAAAAGATGGAAACTTGTATCTAAAAATGATAATGAAATGTGTAATAAATAATGCAATAGTTGATTTTGACAGAGAAAGTAGAAAAGGTTATTTTTTCATTCGTAAAAAAAAACCAAGGAGCCTTCTCATGCTTATGCCTCGTACAAGAGCTGGTGCTTCATTATTTTGCAAGTGACCCGAGGCTAAGGATGATACCACAACCATACATATAATTCCACTCCTTAATATACTAAGAAATATTAAAAATCAAAAACCCAATTATCTATTATTGTATTGGTGAATGTGTATCTAAAAGCGTAGAACATCGTCGATTCGAAATAACTAATGAAGAAAGGAAAGCAAGCTTTGATGCAAATAGCAACACGAAAAAAGTAAAACGTAACGTATTGAAATCAGCGGTCTATCCAAGATGAACTATACATAATATGGCATTCTCTTTTTTCAAGAAACTACATAATCGCTTCGATAAGTGATTGACCACCACCTAAAGAAATTAGAACATACGGGCTGATTTTATTAAGTGATTGACTCTGAAAGGAAGACGTGATAAGTGTACGCAATACGTCAACCGTATCCAGGGATCTTTTATTGGATCTCTTTTGCAGAATCCGAGTTATCATAATCTGACTTTTTATGTATATTATTAACACTGGCAGTAAGTATCGCTGTTTCCATTTATTTTAACTAATAGCGTATGCTCAAAAAGAATAAAGGGATTTATTATAAAAGAAATTGAAACAGTAGTTAAGAGAACAAGATACACTATCAAGAAGAGCTTTTAAAAACAAAAATATATTTATGCAATAGTTTAATTAATATTTAAAGGCTTCTAGAGTAGAAAATTGTAAATTTTATAATTTTCTTTCTATATTTATATATGAGAATAATCCCATATATCATAAAATGGTATAATGATAAATAATAAACAAAAAACCCAATTTTAATGTTGATTGCTGCTGGTCCTAATTGTTCAGGAAAATTCAACATTGTAAAAATATATGAGTTGAAGCGAAAGATGCTCGACATTTTATCCTTCATATGTGTGAATGGTAACGTATTTGATCGGAAAGGAAATTAGACGAAGAATGACTTGCGGGAGAATTGAAGAGCTTTTTTTTTTTTTTTTTTTGCAAGAAAAGACTACATCACAGATTAATCGACAAAAAATTAGATGAGCCATAGAGCGATGAAGCTAAAAAACCTAATAAAATCATCATCACAGAGGGACATGTTTTAGGATTTGATATCAAAATTTATTGTGATGTTGATGATAGCTTGCGTTTGATATGGAAATCCAAAGAAATCCTTCCTTAATATAAGAAAACGATTGGTGTTGAACCTAAAAATGTGGAAAGGATGGATCTCTCTGAATCTTTGTGTATATGAACTAATCACACTAAACTTTTAACTCATCAATATATTATCCCTACTAAAAGTATGTTGGTTTAGTTCTTAATTATAATACTTGAGCGTGTTGAAAAAGTGCTTAACCTCATTAATCCATATTTCAATAATGAACAAGGATTTCAAAAGAATTCAGACCGAAGAAAGATCCTATCAACAAAATGAAAACAAGCCTGAACCCTTATTTAATCCATCTATACTTTTGTGTTGAGTACTCCAATTATTCTATATGAAGGATATCGAATAACTAAAAAAGTTGGAACAAGAAACAAAATAAAATATTCGAGTAAAACATTAATATTACATTATGTTGTTACGATTTTGATCCTTGCGATGTAATGTTCACTTTTATGATTTTGTTATAGCCTGCCTGCCCCACATATTATATATTTTTATTATTATTATTGTTTTATTTTTTTTTTTTTCTAATTACGTAAATATAATAATTATATTATATATTATAAAAAAAAATATTAGAATTATTTGTCTTTCCTTATAAGAAAAAAGTGGGTTGTTTTATTTAGATTATAGTAGATGATATAGCTGGTTCATCTGATAATAAATTTTGACCTATCAGATATTGTTGTAAACTATAAAATAATTCAAGTTGTTCTTTTGGTTTAAGTGAATTAATTGCTGATTGAAGAACTGTTCCCACTTCAACAGTTGATGTCTTTTTATTATTATTAATGAAAATAATCATTTAGTTTTAATAATTATATAAATATAAAGTATGAATATTCAAGGTTATTATAGTTAGCTAGCTTACCTTAATGAAACTTTGATAATACATATATGAAAATAATCCCATCAAGAATTGACAATCCATACGATCAGTTAAACCGCCATGTCCAGGAATTGAATCACCAAAATCCTAGTAAACACCAAAATATATAAGTAATCATTCGTCATGAATTCGAAATCGCATATAAAATAAAAGCAAATAAACCTTCAAATGGAATGCTCTTTTAACTCCACTAGCAAAAAATCCACCAAATGGTGCAATAAGTGATGCAAAACATGCCATAAAAACAACATGCCATTCGAGTGGCGCAATCCAAACAGATCTCACATCTGTAAATGGCTAATATTTACATAAATATTGTAATAATTGATATATTTGAAATTATATTTACTAATAATAATAATAATAATAATAATAATAATAATAATATAAATACTAACAAATCTTCTGAAAAGTGCAGCCAGCCAAGGATTAAGATCATAATTTTGTGGAATGAAAACTGGATTTGGATCACAAGTTAATGTTCCAGAAAATGCCGTTGCACCAAGCTCCTATAGTTTACAAAATAGATTTAAATATTAATTAGATGATTGACTTTCAACACAAATAGACATCATATAGTCGTTTGAATAATAATAACCCATTTTACAAACCTTAACTGGACAAATCATATATTCCCAACGTCTTAACAAAGAAGCCCACTGAAAAAAATTTTTTGTGTATATATATAACATATATTAATTGAAAGTTTAATTTGATTTTTGATGTTTTTATAGTAAATTACTTACAAAAGAGCCAAATATTAGAGTACAAATCCATGCTCCAACAAAACCTTCCCATGTCTTCTTAGGACTCAATTTTATCAATGGAGTTTTGCCCCAAAAGAATCCACAAATATAAGCGAAAATGTCGTTACAAATTACCAAAGACACCGGTAAAACAAACCTACCATTATCAATAATGTTATATTATTATTAGAATTATGATTATTATAATTTTGTCAATAAAATAACTTATAATCACCAAATCAATCCTTCAAAAATATTATTAACGATAAAATGACTTTGGCATACAACGATCAATAGTGTCATATGTGTCCATGCAAATTGGGTGAATTGAAATTTATAATGACCTTTTTTAAGATTTGCAACAAAAAACACAAATCCTAAATATTAATGAGGAAGAGAAAATGAAATTATTAATTAAAGATTGGTTGATTGATTGATTTTAAATAAATAAATATATATATTGAAGTTTTTACCTGTACAGTATAAAGCAAATGATATGAATCGATGGTGTGTTGCAAGTGGAAGTAAAAATGCATCTACCAGTACAACTTCCTTAAAATAATGAATTATCGATTCACCATAAAGAAAATAATTTGTACTAACTAGAAAATACCTATTATATAAATATTAACAAATATTATTATTTCGACAGGTTACATTTAAAACAATAATAAATCAAAAATTTTACCAATTCAATGTTTTAAACCATGGCAATTTTTTCTCTTTACTTGGCACATGAGCGATCGCAATAACTTCTTTGTAAACTAAAGTTTGAATAATCTCCACTAACAAGATCACCCATATATGGCCTAATGCAAGTATTGCAAAAAAACCACCAATCATCACAAATGTCCAAATTGTCCGTACAGTCATATTTTTCCATTTTTTAATTGATGGTTGGTCTACAAGTAAATTACTTGATGTTTCCTAATTAATCAATTAATTTATTTATTTATTAAAATATCACCATTAATATATTATATATATTTTAATAAATCAATAAATAAATTTATATAATATTGTATGTATATCCTTTTAGGAGGGTTTTTTTTTGATTTCAAAGAAACAAATAACTACACTTTTTAAAACATCTTCCTTCGTCAAACCGGTGGCTTTTGTATTACCATTGTAAGAATGTTGACGTTGTAGTATTTCTCCAACCTTCTCTGTGCTTTGATTATGATTAAAATTATTACTTTTGTTATTATCTTGTAAATGGTGTAATTGTTGATGCTGTTGTTGTTGATTTTGATTTTGAATTAGATGCTGTTGATTATGTTGTAATGGATCTTGTTTATAGTTTAGTTGAGAGTTGTTAAGTGAGGATAACGGAGTATCTGTGGTAGTAGTTTCAGATTTAATAAGGTTCTTTCGTTTTTTTGTCATTTTTGTCATTAGAAATTATAAAAAAAAAAATATAATAAAATGAATGATCGGATATATTTTTTTGGGGTGGCGCGAAAAAAGGTAAAATGAATCCGTGGGTAATTTTGAAAGAATGCTATATATATATATTAAAATTTAAAAAAATATTACAAGTGTAACCTTAATATTCAACATTTAATACTTTTTTTGAAAGTCACTTGATGACATGCATTCATAGTTTTATCTAACTAATACTAAGTTCATGCATGTACAAGGTTCATTTTCTGGTCGTGGATCTTTTACTTTTATAAAAGTTTCAAAGATGTTCTGGAAGGTCGCAGATTCTTCACGTCTTCCAAGCCGTCTAAAAAAATAATTTTACCTCCATATAAATTAAAAAATTTTTTCATGGAATTAATTTAAAATTGTCATACTTAAAGATCTTGCCTGTTATTTTTGATAATCCTTTTTAATTTCATTTATTGAGATATCATCCATACAATAAACAAAATCACTTTTATTAGGATCCACATATACACATTGTTGGCCATTTAAAAAAAAAATGTCTACATATTTTTCTTGGAGTACGAGAAAATCACGAGATATCGCAAGAACATCATTTTGACGCTTCTTCAAAAACTTGCGATACACAGTCAGATTTTTCAGCCCTTTTTTTCTATTACTATGTTAATATTAATATCGAATATATATAAACTTGTTAGCAGATACCCTGAGCACGTGATTTTGTAACACGTATGAGGTAATTTTACTATTTTAGTTATTTTTATATAAATAATCTTACGATTTTTAAATAAAAAGGATTAATAATTTGTAAGCTTTTAATAATAAATATAAATAAATATTTTTTTGAAATAAATAATCACATGTTTTGATAACTCGGATTCTTTGATAAACCGGGTCACCATCCCCAGTCACCCAAGTTTATCTGTCTGTGTATTTGTGATTTTTATTTTTTAATTTTACATACAAATTTTTAAAATTTGACTCCTGCATTTTTAATGATATATTTAAGAGAGGTGATTTTTAAATAATACCTTCCATTTTGAGTTCTAAAACTCGCTTTTCAATAGGTATTGAAATTAAGGAATTGTGTAGGGCGTCATGCCGAATTTAGTCTCTACACTTCCAATATACAAGCAAGATACATGCATTACATAGAAAAATTTATTTATTTATTTATTTATTTAATTCTTACTATTTTTAAAAAGTAAAACATATTTCATAGAATATATAGTTTTTTTTATTTTTTTAAATGTATTTTTTAACGTCGTCTTCTAAACCATCAGGCTAAAAAAATGTAAATAAAAATGTTGTTGTAATTATTTTTTTTTTTTTTTTGGAAATAAGTTCAGCTTTATTATTGTTATTATTTTACCTTAACATCAGAAAGATAGCGTTTGACAACATTTCCTTGACCATCGATCAAGAATTTTTCGAAATTCCATTTAATATCTCCTGGCAACTTTGACTTCAGAAATTGATAAACTGGACTTGTTGACTCACCATTGACTTCAATTTTTGCGAATAGCGGAAAAGTCACATGATGTTTGTCATTTCTGCAAAACTTTTCGATTTCTTTTTTCCCCAAATAAATTTTTTTAAATGTTACCTTTTTTTTTAAAAAAATAATAATAAAATCAACATTTAAATTATTTGTTTATTTACCTTCTTCGGTACCAGGTTCTTGACCTAGGAATTGATTACAGGGAAATCCAAGAACTTCGAATCCTGCATTTTTGTATTTTTGATAAAGGTTTTCTAATCCATCATATTGTGGAGTATATCCACAATTTGAAGCAACATTCACTACCAATAAAGTTTTTCCTTTATATTGTGAAAATTTCAAAGGATTTTTTTTAATGTCGAGAGCTTCTAATTCATAAAAACTAGTCATTTTTGTAGTTTGTTGTATAATTGAAAAAATTAATAAAAAATAAAAGTTTGTTTGTTGATGAAAAATAATTTTGTCAGAACACTATTTGTATTTATAAAAACTTGCCTTTTGCTATTATTATATTAACATCATTAAAAAACTTTCAAGTAACCCGCGTAATTGATTTAAAGTTTTTTTGACATATTAAATTAATTAATGATGATCCTAAAAAGTTGGTGGGACCTCTTAAATTTTTAGCCGCGATTAAAATAAAATTAGCATTAGATTTTATACCCAAAAACGGCAAATTTGAAACTCTCGAGTTTCAAACATCATTTTGTACTGTATATCCGTCGAATAGCATTCGCAGACTAATCAACCAGGTAATAATCGAATAAACGTTTGCTGATTAATCAACCAGGCAATCATCGAATAACGTTCGCTGATTAATCAACCAAGTAATCATCGAATAAACGTTTGCTGATTAATCAACCAGGTAATAATCGAATAACGTTCGCTGATTAATCAACCAAGTAATCATCGAATAACGTTCGCTGATTAATCAACCAAGTAATCATCGAATAACGTTCGCTGATTAATCAACGAGATAATCGTTGAATAATCGACGAATGCTATATTAATATTATTACAATATGCGAAATGGGTGTCAGTATTTTAGCGACATCCATTTTGCATATTGTAATAATATTAATATAGCATGGCGGAAGGAAATTTTATTTTATTGGTTGTAAAATCTGAAATGGTATGGAAATAATACACCACTTCTATTTTAGATAGTAATAAAGTTTGACATTATATTCAACTATGCAAAACTATAAACGTGTTATCAGATAATTGTACTGTATCAACTGAAAAATATAATTATTTTCAGCTGATAACAGAATTTATGATGAATACTTGCCTTTAACGTTTCTCATAAAGTCGTAATATTAAAACAATTGATTGATCTCTTAATTAGTAAGAAATTATTATATTAAAAATTTCACTTCTAATAAAACTTTATGGGTGCTTGATGGCAGAAATTTAAACAATATTCTATACTTGATTCTACACATAATAGTATTTACAACTTTGTCACTATTAGTTAAAAAGATTTATGTAGTGTATCCAAGTGAATGAATGAATGTTTACTCAGTAAAGCCGGATATTTCAAACATTTTGGTCGTCTTTAAAAAAACTAAATCATCTGTTTTTTACTTGAACTTCGCACGACTTGCGTGCTAAATGAATGTTTCCCTTGGAAAATTTCAATGGTCATCATAGTTTTTCATTCAAAGTAGATTTATTGCTCGAATGCGTCGTGATTTCGTGGTATTAAAATGGGTTGCAATTCGTGTAAAAAACCGTCAAGTGGGCATACAAAAGTGAAAGTTGTTCCATACCAAAATCGAGTTGCTTTAAACTCAGTTTGCAGACAACAAGTTGGAATCGTCAGATTTTTAAAAATCATTTCCTTCACCCTTCTTTATTTTCTTTAAAACTTAGGTTATAAAAAACATTTCGAATTTTGTTTCATTTCTAAATAATACTTTTTGATTTTTCTACTAATTCTTTTAACTAAATTTATAAATTACGTGTATTATAAAATTATTGCTATAATATTAATACTTTATTAGATTATCTGCCGAATCCAACGGTTTTGATAAATATGAATATTTGATTATTCTAAAGTTTGGGATTTATAGATCACATGGAGGAAAAGAAGGGCACAGCTTTTGTTAAAGGAAACGATGTACGTAAAACTTGGAGGAAAGGTATATTCTTTGGATTAAGTTTTAATCCAGATTATTTTTATCTTATGATAAACCATATTTGCAAAATAAATTGTTACAAGAGTCTTCCCTCCGACTACAACAGCAATGCCATTATATCTCATAGTGTTTTTCTCATTTTCTATACTATTATTATACTATTATTATGGTCATGATAAATCAACATGTCATTTTTATTAAAACAAATTTACTATGTAGTATATACATATTAAACTTCATCATTTGCTAATAAGATTTGAAAATTTTCGATATCAATGCTATATAGTTTTCAAAATATATAAAAGTCTTAATTTAGAAATGTATATATGCTATTTATTATTATTTTATTTAATTTCTCTGCCAGCCAATTTTTCTCTTTTGGCCATCATTGCTTGAGATTTAATACCCATAATACCACCACCTCATTGTTTTCTATTTTCTTCGAATTTATCATTGTAGTTGAGCTTGATTGAATTAACCAAATTATTAAGGGGTTTCTTATGAACAACAGTTCCCAAACTGCCAACTTTCACACCCAGGGACATTCCATGTGCGTTAGTGTGGTGCATTTGTAATTGATTTCTTTATTTACAGCATTGAGCATCTCAAGATATTCTTACAAGTCTCAGAACAACCTTATACCAATCATGAAACCAAACTTCCAGACCTTTCAAAAGAAAATTGGGAATTGTGAGCTTTCAGTTTATGAATTTTATTCTAAATGTGCAAATCTAAACCATATTTCATCAGAGAATAGAGAATCCCTAAATGATATTGATGAATTTTAACAACAAATAGAACACTAGAGAAGAAAAACAATTGGTTCGCTTGGTTTCAGGGGATAATGCAAAAGAATTTTTATATGAAATGAAAAAATAATTAATTAAATGATTATTATTATTATTTGCTAAAAATAAAATATTTGTAATAAAAAGGTGTAATATTATTAACATTCTTTGTGTTTCTTCCAGAAACTAAAGGGAAAGTATATTACAAGCAGTCACTCATATGTGCATGAAAGAGTAACAACAAAAGTAATATTGATCTCTTGGAAGTAGGTTGTAGATGTGTTTAAAGATGACTCTGCAACTGGGAGGTTGCAACCCCAAAAAATTGACATCTAATGCTGCAACTACTGCCTATGAAAAAAAAACTGTTTGTTATGACCACGTGTAAAAAAATACTGATAAAAACTTAAGGATTCTATAGCATTTTAAGGGATCCTAAGCTCGGAACATTACTGATGCTCGGCTTCGCTTCTTGTTGATTAATAAATTGTAAATTTTTTTTTTTAATAATAATGTTCAAACTTTTTTAAATTTGCCCGAGACTATTTTCCATTTTATTAATGTAAAGTATTAATAATTCAATTTCGTTCATCAAATTTGCAAAAAGTGTTTTTTCAATTTAGAGATATTATGACATTCCTAAATTAATAATAACGACGACGATAAATAACTTGATGGCAATTAGAATAAAATGAAATAAATAAATCTTTACCTTGTTCTTACGTAATAAAGAGCCATTGATGCGATCTTGTTCATTAGTAAATTGTTTCAACTTTTCATCTATTTCGTATCTTTCTATGTCACCTTTTTTTTGAAAAACTTTTTAATAATTAATAAAAAATATATAATAATAATAATAAGTAGAAATTTTCTTGCCATTACGTAATTGTGTTAAATCATCAACAAATTTTCGATGAAACCTTTGGGAACCCGAATCAAATTTTGACAAATCATCAAAAAATTTTTTTTTGCTAGACTATTTTTTAGAACAAAACAAGATAGAGAAAATATTAATTATTTATAATATTAGAAAAATTTTTGACTGTAAACTAACCAGATTATTTTCGAGATCAAGTTTCAACTTCTTGATTGATTCATCGTCTCTTTCCAAGTGTTCACTCCCTTTTCTCTTCATTCTCTCGTGGATTTCTTTCCTGTTGATAATAATTATACATAACAATCAGCAGAAAATAAAATTTGGTAAATGGGTTTTTGTTTTTTGTTCTATCTACTATAAATGCTATAGAGGTTATACATTTCAGTAGCCCAATTATTAATAACGCCGTTATCTTCACCAACTAATTCATTAATTGCTTCATCTAATTTTGATTTTAATTCTTTCCCGAATTGTGTAAATTTTGACGTATTTTTTTCGCGTGTTTTTTCTTTATTAATAGTATTCGAATTAAATAATGGGAATGAATTGATTAATGGAATAAAAATATTTTAATATTTACTTTGAATAATTCCAATCAATTCTGCCATATCAGAATATCTATTAATAAACATATTATTATTATCATCGTCATCATCAATTGTACAATGCGTATATAAACGTTAATTATTACCCGAGGCTTTTTGTACTTTTTGCATCATTAAAAGCATTGCTAACATTATTCATATCATCATCTTCGTCAGTATTATCATTGCCATCATCAGAAGAGGAATCATCAGAATCATTGAAAGTTTTATTATTATCATCGGTTGGTGCATAATCATCATCATCGTTATTGATTTTTTTTCGAGTTTGACTTCTTTTATTTGTTGTTGAAGGATTATTTTTATTATTGTTTCTACTATTACTAACATTAGGGAGTTTTTTAATTGAATTATTTGTCGCAGTTCTTTTTTTATTAGTAGTTGTAGAAGTTTTTGTGGTTGCGTTCTTAGATATGGCCATTATTTTCTTTCCGTTTGCAGGTGTATTTATAATTGATGAGAATGGAAAAGAACGCGTTTTTTATTTAGATATTTAAAAGTTTATTAAAAAAGTTTATTCGAGCGACGAAGTTACACAATCAAATGAATTGTAATAAAAATATTACCACGCCTTTCAATCGCATGGCACTGTCACAGCCAACCAATCTAATAGAGAAAGTATATTTAAAATTATAATCGAATGGTGATGTCGTAGCCAAAGAAATTCATCTTGAGAAGTAGACTAAAGTTAGACATTAAAAAAATCATACTAATAATACTAAAGCTACTATATACTGCTAATACACAAATAAATTATATAATTATACCTCTTTTAATAATTACTACTACTCTACTGCTATTGTTTACAAGTAAATACGAAAAAGGAAAGATGAGAAATTTGACTCGGTCCACTTCACTACTCAATTCCTCGTCAAGCGGGTTACATATATTGTGATAATAAAAAACCACTTTGATGAAGGTAATAAGCACAAAGCATATATTAAACGTGCCCGTCTTATTGTAACTCATGGTTATGCACCTCCACATCATGAATTGGCCCATCAATCACTATTTCATTCAGCTTTTCGATTGATGGTTTTGGTATTGTTGTCATCAAAAACATTACATGCATTATTCAAGTAGTGTCTCTTTGTTTTAAAAATGGTAATTATCATTCTTTGTAGAGTCTCGTGGTGAAATTGATTCAATACACTTAGTTTAATATTTTTTCTTGCTTTCTTCTGATGAATCATGTGATCAATATTGGTATGTAGAGTATGATTTTTATTCGATTTGAATTGCGCGTAATAGTGATACACAACAATATCATAAACACGCCTTAATGCTTGAGTTTGAAACATACATGGCTGATTAATGTTGGTACATGGACATAAGATAGTTATGATGAAAATTTGTTTGAAATTTAATTTTGAAATTTAAAAGTGTCAAAAATAGAACAAAGAAAGGATGCTAAAATCACTTTATAGTTGAGTAACGACGAATCAACCACTAAAGTTTGATAATGATGAAAGCTTTTTTTTTAATGTTGAAGTTGTTCTTATTTTTATTTTTCAATGTTTCAAAATTTATATATATTAATAATTAATTCTTGATAGAGAGAAATTTAAAGGTAATCAAATAAAGTATTTAACGTTAAAAAAACTCCAATAATATAATAAAAAGTTAAAAATATCATCAGAAATAGTGGAATGCATTTTTCTAAATACATTCTCAGTACCATTTACTATAATTTTTTATAGGAAATGAGGTTCAAATAAAGAATTATCATTCTCAAACTCCTCCGTTTTCTCTACTCTACTCTATTCAATAAATCAATCAAGTCATCACCAGAAAGAAAGAAACTTGCATTTAAAATTATAATAAAATATATAATAATGCAGAGATCAATAGGTCTGATAGAGAAAGTATCAAATATTATTTTTTATTAGTCAAAAAAAAAACAAGGAGCTTTCTGAAAATGCAAATGAATATTGTAAGAAAGGTTTATTTTAATTTTGAATTATAAAATGCAATAAATAAATTGGGAAAACCAAAAGTATGTAACAAATGTAATCAACAAGTTATTCTGCTAGATTCTGTACATATTTGATAATTTTATTCATAAATGTCAAATGAAATCATCTTTGCCAACTCTCATTTTAGAATGGATACCTTTTGAGCAATTTGAAAAAGTAATAAAGTCAACTGAAGATGGATTTAGTTCAGTTTACACTGCTAGATGAACAAGAGGTCATATAAATGATTATGATGAAAATAAAAAGAAAATTATTTATTATGGAGAGTATTAAAAAGCTTAAACAATTCAAGTAATCCAGGAAAATTTTTTTTTTGATGAGGTTGGTAATTTATCATTTAAAACAATACTGTATTGTATAATACTAATTGATTTTATATTTAACTATAGGAAATGAATTATTGTAAAATTAAATCATCAATGATTGTTCCTTGTCATGGTATAACTAAATTCCCAGATAATGGAAATTATGTAATAGTTTTAAATTATCAATCAGAAGGAACTTTAAGGGGTTATTTACAAAAAAATCATTCTAATTTGACATTAAAAGATAGAATTGCAATTTTTAGATGGTTATTCCAGGCATTATATTGTATACATGAAAAAGATTTAATCCATTGTGATTTACATAGTGGTAATATATTAATAGATGGAGGTAATTGTTATATTACAGATTTGGGATCATGTGGACCAGTTGATGAAAAATCATCAAATTAAAATCTATGTAATTATATCATATGTTGCACCTGAACTACTTAGAGACATAAATAATACAAAAAGCACAAAAGAAACAGTTATTTACAGTGTTGGAATGTTGATGTGTGAAGTACTTGCAGACTGACAATAGAGCTCGTACTCCCTTGGTATAAAATTCTTGTCATCAAATGGAGACCAAACTGGCGTTAATAGATAAAATTAACTTTATTTTTTGAAGCAGTTGAAAATTTTGAAGTCTTATGATGCTGAATGGGTGAAAAACGAAATAAGATATCAGTATATATGATATTCTTTCATCTTGCTAATGATAAAAATAGTGATTGATAATGATATGATGGCAATGAGGATGATAGTTTCTATTAAAGGACAAAAAAGTCTTATATTGATTTAATAGATTTTATGATTCATATAATAACGAAACTGAAAAAAATGAAATTGATAAATAGTTGTCTTCAAAAATACAAAAAAGGAATTGAGTTTAACGTTCCTGTACGACCTTTTTTCCAAATTTGGGAGAAGGAAGTTATTATATACTATATACAATCTTTTCTTTTTATTTGCGTAAACAGAATGAATCCAAACGTTCCTCCAACATCTTCAATTATTTTGCCTCCTCCTCCTACCTCATTAACTTTAAATAATAAAGATGTTAAATTTTTAAATCATGTATTTTTTTTTACATTTCTTTTATTCAATTAAATTTTCTCCTTTTAACTTTAAATAAATAATTATCAAATATTTTTTTCTAGGAAACTACAACACTTATAGTTAAAAGCCTGCCAAATTTTCCAGAACCAGATTTGATTAATTTTCTTAATCATTTTGGTCCAAAAGAAATCCGTCTTGGAAAGTCTAGACATATGGTATGTAAATGAATATGAATTCATTTGCATTATATATATTAAAATATTATATTGAAATGCATTTTCTTATTAATAGTTTTCTTATCTTAGAAAAATTCTGCCTTTCTAGATTTTTGGGACCGTAATTCAGCGTCATTAGCATTCACTAAAATACAAGACTTGGGAGATATTAATGGTAAAAGAATCAGAGTTGAATATGCATCTCCAAGTAAAGAAATATTAAATCAACAACAACAACAACAACAACAACAACAACAACAACAACAACAACAACAGCAACAAAAACAACAGCAACAACAACAAATCATTCATGATAATGATATAATAAATTCACAAAATCGACCACAACTACAAGAATTCCAAAATGAACATAGTCAACCACCACCTTTACCACCCTTACCACCACCCCCATCAATACCATCTTCTTCTTCTTCTGTTAAACTTGCGGCTGAACCAATAGCTCCATCATTAGGGTAATCTATATTTAATAATATTTTTCAATTTATTTTATCGATTTGTTAATTTTGTTGCTAATATAATATGTGCAAAATCAGGATAAATTATCCACCACTGCCTAATCTTCATTATCGTTATCCACCACCTACAATAGAAAGTCTCCAAAATATTATGAATGCGATTACAACAGTACCAAAGTTATACACACAAGTTTTACACTTGATGAATAAAATGAACTTACCACCACCTTTTTCCCCAGTGGTTCCTGACTCAATACCGCCTTTAGTAATAATAACATTTTATTATTTATTGTTGTTGTTGTTGTTGTTGCTATCAATTATTAAATTTTCCTCCTAATTTTTTAACCCTTTTTTGATTTGATTTATTCAACCAGCTTCGACAGCAACAGCAACAGCAACAGCAACAAACATTACCAAATTCATCGAATAAACATAAACGTAAGAAAAGAGATGAATTGTTATCAGAGGATGAGTCAGAAATAGATAGTGAAGAGGAGGAAGAAAAAGAAAAGGTTATTCAAAATAAAAAGAAACCTCGAGTTTACAATAAAATTCAAAAAAAATGGCGATGACATAATTTAAAAATTTGTATGGATCTAAAAGCTTATTGATTACTTTTATTAATAATAAAAAGTCAAGTAATTTGTTTTTTTTTTTGTGAATCTAATTCAGATCTGCTTTTCATAGTATTGACAGAGATCCATCATTTCTTCTACATGATCTATTACATTTTCTCATGTGAAATGGGCAAAAGTCTGCAGTATCTGTAAAGTTTGCCATTTAACAAAATTCTTTTCACACCAATTACTTTTCTTGGCGTGTTTTGATTATCGTCAAATTGATCTTTATCAGGGCACAGGTCAATACAAAATTTTTTGCCAGAATATCAGAATTTTTTTTACTGATAAGAAGATTTTATTTAATAATTTCATTTTTATGAGTCGTTGTTTATTTAAAACTAATACCAAGAAATCATAAAATTGAAACTAATCTATCTTTTGATTGAAGCCATATTTGTATAATTTTCATAAAGACATTTTAATAATACATCTATTGATGTTGGTTGTAATTGGCATCAATAATGTGTTAATAATTATAATTAGGTACAACATGATTAATCAAAATTTCTAATCAAAAGCTCTAATTTTTTTGGTCATTCCACTAGATTAAAGAATTTTGGAATTATGGCAATGATCTGGTGTACAATATCTAATAATTCGAGAATAATAGTAATCGGTCAAAAAGTGACGTTAACCTTTTAAAATTAATAAAAATATAAATAAAATGAAAGAGGCTAGGTCACATGTCCTAAACACAATTGGACTGCAATTCGATAAATCATTATTACTAGACAGTAATAGTAATAGCAAATTGGGATACAGATTATGGGGTTAGGGTTCAGATACAAGCTCTATTTATAAAAACCATTTTTTTAATTCAATTTATATATATAAGAAAGTTTATGATTGCAAATTTTGATTATTAAATATTTATTTTTAACAAATTATTTGAAATTATAGTAAGATTTTATTTAGTTGGAGTTTGTGGAGATGCTGATGTAATGTTTAAAAATCTTTCGATAATAATAAATCATTTGTTGAATTTGATTTTACTAACTTTTTATTTGTTCAATTTCTGCTTCAATCCTCTTGATTACTTTAAAAGAGTGACTAATTATGTTCTATAAAAAAAGGCTTATAATAGTAAGTATATTATTTTACCTGATCAAATTATTTACAAAAGTTGCAAAATTTACCTTTATTTGTAAGATCGATTCAATTAAAATGAACGATTCGAATAAACATATAAAACGAACGATTTGGGCGATTCGGATAAATGAATAAGATGAATGATTCGAATAATTCGAATAATTCGAATAAAATAAAAATGAATAATTCAAATAAACGCATAAACGAATAAAATAAACTAATAATAATTCGAATTAATTGAGTTGTATTACGAATGAGGATTTGTATTTGTATTAGTATTACGAATAGGAATTCTAGCTGATAATAAAGATTTTTTAAACAGGTTGCATTTCGTTTTAATTCTCTACAAATATTTGAGCAAACATTGTAAAGTTTATACAGTCGTTTCAACAAATTATAATTAAATTCGCGTTACTATGAATTTTTAAAACATAAACCGTGATTAGTAATTTTAGTATAATGCAATTTCTTGTGCATATATTCCAGAACCTAAAAACCATTGTTCTCATTTTAAATTTTCGGAATTTTTTAGTAAAATTATTCATGATGATTCAAATGTTCTATCTAAACTTATACAAATTATTATTGCTTCAATTATTTTCAGTGTTTTGCAAAATCGTGATTTATAAAAAAGTTTCGAGCTAGCACTTTTCTATAAGCGAGTTTATTCATGATTGTTTTTTGTTTCAAATGTTCCAAATAATTGATCAAGGTGCATTCAATTGGTTCATATTGTGGAATAAATTCATTGAAATGTTGTATTTCCATTTTATAAAAACAGATTGTGATTTGTGTGTATAATTATCAAAACAATATATATTTCATTTACTAGCATGTATATATCTTTTTTTATTGTCGTTGAAAAGAAAAACGAATTTATATGATTGTTATATTTCTTTATATATTATATATGCTCTTTGAATGTTAATTAAGGAACATGTAGTCTTATATATTTAAAGGCTGTTTTGATTAAACAACAACAACAAAAATAAAAATAAAAATACCTTGCTCAATGGATAATTTGCGACCTCCAGCCCTTTACTGTTGTCGACAACTCTTATTTCAGAGAATTCATCAAATTTTTTTGTCGTCATAACAACAATAATAATAACTAGCGTGTAACCATTTGCTTCGCAAATTGTAACACACTCAACCTGTTTTTGAGTTCATTTTCAGCATCGTAGAAGTAAATTTGTGCAAACTGTGGTTGTGTACTGTCATTTGACGGAAGAAGAGATCCAGTATTGTGATACATCTTTCCATGAATACGAAAGGTGCAAATCCCTGTAATAATAATATCACACATAAGCGGGTTTCAGTAACGAATCACAAAATCACAAAATAGCATCAATTGATATATATAACTTTAGTACCTGCAGTTCGCTCATCAATGAGAGCACTTATAGACGTAAATGCTAAAGATGAATTGTATGCTTGAATCTTTTCTCGAAATTGACGTGAGCGTGTGTTGGGTCCAAAAAGAAGAGAGTACAATGGTTCCAAGAGGGGAGGGAGTTGCACTCTACTATTAGAGCAGCAAATATTAAATTTTGGATTAGTGCTGGAAAAGAGTCGTTCTTCCTTTCGTCCACCACATTAGTGCCATGTAGTCAGTACAAATTTTCTCCATCCTCCCAATAGAATTGAATGATAACAATTTTTTTCATTGGTCACTCAGAATTTATGATCTAGTTTCATGTGGCAAACCACGGTGCACAAAAAATAACAATAAAATATGAAATATCCGCGAATAAAATCACAGGGAATTGTTCGTTTTATTATTATTATTATTATGTACGTTTCTGTTTTTGAACTCTCGGTAAAGATGGGTAGGACATCATTTTGGGATTCTCGGAAAGATTTTGTTTTTAATTTATCGTCTTTACTTAAATTAATTAAAAAAAATTAACTACATTATATAAAAATGTAATATATATATATGCTCGTCTAAACTCAAATTTTAATTTACAAATTTTTCTATAAAATTAAATTATTCAATTAAATAAAAAAAAAATAATAAATATTTCTCTATCTCTAACTATTATTAGCTTTACCAATGGTGAATACTTTAAAACCAATAGATTGTAATTTCTCAGAATCAAGAATGAGACGACCGTCAAAAATAAAAGCTGGTTTATGCATTTTTGAATAAATTCTTTCATAATCCAATGTCTATAAAATAAAATATTTTAGTGTACAAGTTGCTATTAAATTCTTTTAGTTAATTGACTGATTGATTGAAAACAAACCTTAAATTCGTCCCATTCAGTTGTAATAACTATGGCATCAGCATCTTCAGATGCTTCATAAGCTGTTTTGCTAATAGAGATGGATTTCTTTACTATAATAAATAAATAGTATTTAAATAAATAGATAATTCAATACAATCGTAATCATGGTATAAAATATATATATATATAAATAAAAACAAAGTATATAAGCATGTACGTACCTTCGTCAGTATTGTCAACAACACCAGGTTCAGTCAAATCAAGATGAATTTGTTCTTCGCTAACTTTTGGATCATAAATATGAACTTTAGCTTTTTCTTGAATAAAAGCTTTACATAAAGTGATTGCGGCAGATTCTCTGGTATCACCGGTATCTTTTTTAAATGCAAAACCAAGCAATGCAATTTTTTTGTAGGTGATGGTGTTGAACAACGTTTTGATAATACGTGAAATAAAACGGTTTTTCTGATATTCATTTAGATCTACAACACTTTTCCAATAGGCTCCAACTTCAGGAAGGTTAAGTTGTTGAGAAAGATAAACCAGATTCAATATATCCTTCTGGAAACAGCTTCCACCAAATCCAACTGACGCCTTTAAAAATTTTGGTCCAATACGTGCATCTTTTCCACAAGCATACGCCACCTCATCAATATCAGCACCTGTTGCTTCACAAATTGCAGACAATGCATTGATTGATGATATACGTTGAGCTAACAAAGCATTTGCTGCCTATACACATATTTATATAAAGTAAATTTTTTCAAGATTAATAATAATTATTATTTATTAATAATTGTAAATATTTTTTTTTTTTATAAATACTTGCCAATTTTGAAAGTTCAGATGACCATAAGTTAGTAGTAATGATGCGTTCAGTAGGAACCCAATGAGCATATACTTCTACTAAAGCCTTTTGAGCTTTCATTCCTTCAGGCGTTTGTAAGCCACCAATTAAAACACGATCAGGATTTAATAAATCATTAACTGCAGTACCTTCAGCAAGAAATTCAGGATTTGATAGTATGTCAAAGTGAATACCGTCCCTGGAGTTTGCTTCTAAAATTGTTCTCATACTCTCTGCTGTACGACATGGCACAGTTGATTTTTCAACTACAATTTTTGAACTTCTTGCCACATCTGCAATCTGTCTTGTAGCTGATTCAACATAACTTCAAATTACATAACAATAATTTATTAATTAAAAAAATTAAAGCAATGAGTTTAATTGGTTGAACCAGAATCAAATAAATTGTTAAATAATCAATCACATGAATTAATCATTGATTAAATTAAAACTTACGCAAGGTCAGCAGCATAACCAGCGCCCATACCACTTTTTTTTGTCGGAGTATTTACTGAAACAAAAATCAAATCCGCTTCTATGACAGCTTTTTCCACATCAGTTGTAAAAAATAAATTTTTATTACGGCATGCAAATACAATGTCATCAAGACCTGGTTCATAAATTGGTAAATTATCAGAGTTCCAAGCTGCTATACGAGCAGGATTCAAATCAACAATAGTCACTTGGATATCTGGACATTTGTATGCGATGACTGCACAGGTAGGTCCACCTAAATAATTCATTTAATTGATTATATATAAAAAAAAATATATTTATAATTTTGTGAAAATGCATATTTATTAGATCAAAATTAAAAAATTTTTCTATAATGTTGAATGGTAGTTTTGACTTTTTTTTTTTTTTTTTGAGATTTTAAATGAAAAATTTTTTCTCTCATTCCATGCTCTTTTACAAATCTTCCATCAGAATATTATGTAATTCGCATCTCATTAATAAATTAACATATAAAAGATATATACCAACATAACCGGCACCAAGACAACAAATTTTTCTTACTGATGACATTTTATTAATTAATTTGTATATTTATAATTAGAATTTTTTTTTAATATATTAAAAATAAAAACTATTTTTTTTTTTATTTTTATTTTGATAAACGAACGAGTCGATCCAAAACATTGCAATACATCACAGGCTGGTAAATATTACACCAAATAAATTCGAAAGCACTTTTATTATTATTATATATATAATAATAATAATAATAATAATAATAGTAATAGTAATGGTTTTGCATTCGGTAATTGATTAAATAATCTTTAAAGGAATTTTTTGAAAAACAAATATAGTTCGAAATTCATCATGTGTGTAAACCTTTATTAAAATGGCACCGTATCACATTTTAATAGATTCGGAAAATAACCGTAGAATTTTTTGTTTTTTTGGAAAGTTTCTTTGAATTTCACAACACATCTTTAAATTAATAATGTTACCCAGTCCCAAAAGTTGGAACCAAAGAGCAAGAAGGCCGGTTCAAACCTATATAAAACCCTATCTTTAGTAGCCACGTGATAGTAACAAAATCCATTCAAGAACAATTGATTTTTTAAAATTCTTTCATCAAATTCGTCAGGCCATTGAACTTTTAAATTTCATCAAAAACTTTAGTTCTGATGTCGCCACCATTAGTATTTATAATAATGGATTTGCATTGTCAGATGGTAAACTTTAATAAAATTTGTTCTTTGGAGTTCCAAATAATAAAGCTGTCACTAACACTGATGAAATCTATTTGATTTCCTTATCCTAATTAATAAATATCAGTGATAATGTAATTAAATTATCTCCTTTAACCAATCCATCGCACGTATTACCGGAAGACAGATTAGAAGAACAGTGGAAGAATTGGAAGAAGAGGTTGAAGTTATATTATTGACTAAAAGTGTCAACACTTTTGAATTTTGTAATCAATTCTACATATTTTGAATGAAAAAAACCAAATTGCTGCACCGCAATCATCAATTACTCTCCATTATTCAAGGAGGATAATAATAAATTTTCTATACCGGAATTAAAACCTAAACCTCCAGCTAAACCAATTTTGACATTAAATGTTCTTTTGAAAATTTCTGTTTAACCGTTTTTTTTTTTTTCAAAAAATAAAAGTCAACATCGCTTGTACATTGAATTTTATTATTAGTAAATAAATATCTTAATATAGTCCTTATTAATAGTAGTTGATTGGCATTAAAAACAATAAACAAGATTACAAATTAATAATAATAACTGTATATTTTATGGTTGATAATAAATTAATTAATATTAATGAAATAAGTAATAAGTTATTATAAAATAATCATTTATAAAAACACATTGAAACAACCGATAATACTGGCAATAGTAATGATCAAAAGTCCAAAATTTGAATTGTCGAATAAAGATTCTGAATTTGATTTAGGTGCATTCGTTGACGGTGATGATGGTGATGTAGTAGCGGCGGTATCAGAGTTAGTAGTGGCGACTGCGGATGTTGTAGGTACAGGTGGTACGTATGTAGTAGCTAAGAAAAAGAATTCGTGATTTATTATTAAAAAAAAAAATAATCATAAAATAAAACGACACTATTCAAAAAATTTTGCTTACGAGTTGTTCCAGGTGCTTTGATTTCAAATTGTTCAGAAGTTGTATATATATCTGCAATATTTGCAACATTTGTAAATCTAATCACAAACCCTAAGTCGAAAGAAAAAGAGAAAACAAAAGTTTCATTGAATTAATCAGTAAATAAATCAATATCCCACATGCCTGCCTTCCTCCTCCGTCTTTCAAAAATAATTACCAGTATTAACTAGACTAGGCGGAATTTGAACAGTAGTTACACCAAGTGTTGTATTAACTGTGTTGGCAATGGCAAAATCTGACAAGTCTGGAATTTTCTATTATTTTTTTTTAAAAGAAATTCATTGATCGATATAATTGATCAATATAATTGATTTGATTGATTGATTGATCGATTGATTGATTGATAAAATAAACTTTTTTAAAACTTACGGGGTTATTTAAATACATAGAAAATGCTTTTGGATCAGTAGTTGGATCAAATGTCCATTGTACTTTGTTATCTGCTCCAGCTACAAGATAATAATTTGGTGATGGATAAACTATCTTTAGTTCAGCTACAAAATATATATATATATTTATATTAGCGTCAAGTATAAACATATGTGAATGTGTATGTGTGAGGAGAAAGGTTCCCAAAAATAATACCTGAAGAAAAACTTATAAAAAGTAACGAAAAAATGAAATTAATTATTGGGAATTTCATTTTTATCATTTCTTTATTTTTTATTTTTATTAAATTAAATTTATATTTATATACTTTTTTAAAAACAAAGAGGACGATCTTTTTTACTAATATTGTTTACATAATAAATGAATAAAATAACCCATTAATATAATTGTAACACTCACTATTTATAAATAAGTCTTCTCAAATTAAATTTAATTAAATTTAATTACTATTACTTGTGGGAGAGTGCAACATAATTTTAGTTGTAACCAATTTGTGGCATAATAGAGGTTGCACAAACTGTTTAGGGTTGATCTAAAAAAAAATTTTATCTGTGTACATAATTGGTCAAGTAAAATTTATAATATGTCGTCGGAAGTTAAATCTGTTGCTGCAAAAGGCACACTTGCAAAAGCCAAAGTAACAGCTGCTCTAGATATTGAGGGCAACGTCCCATTAGAGTCTGTTCAACTTGATGGACTAGTCGTTCTCAAGATCATTAAACATTGTCATGAATTTTTTCCAAATCCTGTAACCGGACAACTTCTTGGTCTTGATGTTGATCGTGTACTGGAAGTAACAAATAGTTTTCCATTTCCTGGAGCAAAAACTGACGATGAGCATGAACTAGTCGATGGTCTGTATATATACTCTTTTTGAGTGGAGAAGAAACATTTAATGTTGAAATAAATGCATTAAAAATATACTCTTTTAAATATAAAGCTGCCAAATATCAAGTCGAAATGATGAGATGTCTTCATGATGTAAATATAGATCACAATACTGTTGGATGGTATCAATCAACATATCTTGGATCTTTTGTAACTCATAAATTGGTGGAGACACAATTCACTCAGCAGTCACTTAATAATAAAAGTGTTGTTATTATACATGGTATTTATATCATTTACATTATTTTCGAATTAATAAATATTATATGCTGGTTAATGTTATACATTAATTAAATACATGTGCATATATTTTAGATGTTTCACAGTCAAAAAGCGGAAATTTGGCACTTTCGGCTTATAGGTTTACACAAGCATTTATGGAGGCTCACAAAGAAGGAAAATTTACATCAGAATCACTTGTAAAAAATAAATTAACATTTTCAAAGATTTTTGAAGAATTGCCAATCATAATCAAGAATTCACATTTGGTCACTGCACTTTTACATTCTTTGGATGATTTTGAAAATGTTATACCAAAAACTTATCCCATCAGTATAGACAAAGAATCTGTTATTGGTCCTTTAACACCTAATTTTGAAACACTGGAATTAAGTCTTGATCCTTACATGGAAAAAAATTTGGAATTCTTGTTGAAATCAATTGAAGATAATAATTATGAACAAAATAATCTTGCTTTTTGGCAAAAAAGTGTTACAAAAGCACAATCTGCTTTACAAAAACGAGTAAGTTTTAGCTGGTAAAATATGTATGTATGTATGTATGTATGTATTCATGTATTAATTTTATTATTATTATTATTATTATTATTATTACCAGAAACAAGATAATGAAGCACGTAAGGAATCAGGATTGGATCCTTTACCAGAAGATGATATTTTGAAAATGTATAAAATACCACCAGAACCATCAAGGCTTGACTCTTTATTAATATCATCACAAATTAATAATTATTGCAAACAATTAAATCAACATGCTGGTCCAACTCTTAGTAAATTATTCGTTGCAAAAGAATTACAAAAATAAAAATTTATAAATTAATACAATTTTTTTTTTCTGGCATTACATCACGTGTGATAATTGATTGGGAAATCTTTGTTAAAACTGGCGTTTAAAGACTTTAAAATAAAAGTTATTTGGAAGTTATTATCAAGAATATTTCTAGAACATTTTTAGATTCCCATTTTAAATTCGTAGTTGTATATCAGATATATCTTTACATGAGTTATTGTACATATTAATAGGTCAAATCCACACCCATATCAACATTATATTAATTAATATTTTAGTCGTTACACAAATTTTATAAATAAAATTTCTCTTATATATACGTACATATCTTTAACGTTCGCCCTATATGCTTCTAAAAAAAGTCGTATATATATATATATTTCTTTTTATTAATCAATTTTTACGAGGCTAAATGGAATATTTTTAACATTAAAAAAGGTATATAAGCATAAAAATTTTATTTACATCATCATCGTCGTCGTCGTCGTCGTCGTTGGCAATGATTACTTTATTTGCTAAACGTACTCGAATGACTGTTTGTTTTCTGGAGAATTGTTAGGCTGATTACTAGTAGGTTTATTGGTCAGGTAAAATGATCGTCAATATGTTTGACACAATTACCGATACCACCGCTAATTCCCGATTTTAAGTTGGTTGACACAAAGAGAGATTTTATATTTCTTCCGAAATACGATGGTGGCTGCTACCTCCTTCCTCTTGATTATTGTTTTTTTTTCTTACCAAAATGATTCGAAAATCTTTCTATAAATTTCATCTATTTTCTCCTTTAGAAATAAAAAGTTGATGGAAAGAAAAACGCTGCAATGAAGTTAAAGAGTTAATAAATGATAAAAATTATTTCATAAGCATACAATGTTGTATATGTTTTTCAACAGCTCTTCAATGATGATAAGAAAATAATCGTCATCAGAATTTGGTGTTATCTGACTTTTTGTTTAATAGCCAATTATGAATTGGTGATGAGCCTTCAACTTATTAACTTTAACTTTACATCCCTTTGTTCAAAAATTAAAGAACACAAAAAGAAATGTCTACTATTGAAGAAACTTCATTTATGAAAATTATATCTATAATATATAATTTATTTCACTGTTACCTATATAGTTTCCAAAACATCTTCAAAAGAGGAAACCCAAAATGATACTTCCATCATTACAAATCAACAAGAGTATAGGCGTGGACTGACGAGGGAATTGAGAAGAGTTGCATTTTACCAGGAATCGGTTTTGGATAAAATTTCTCTGAAAAAATTGGTATTGAAAAAATGAAAATTTTTTTAAAGTTAATTGTTTTTATATTTTTATTAACAAAAAAATACCTCAACACTAGCAACAACCTGAATCTGATCTCCCATCTTTGTCAACAACTAATAATAATAAAATAAATACTAATGGTAATAGTGGTAGTGGTAGATGATATGACATTCCAGAAAAAATTAAAGAATCGCGGAATTGAATCTTTATCCCCAATACAAGCTGCGGACTTTAAACCGATATGTAACAGAAAAGATGTTTTGGTCAGAGAAAAAGGGGTTCAAAAAAATTTTTTTTCTTCATTTATGAGTTAATAATTTAGATTTAGATTTTTTTTGTTAGGCCGAAATTAATAAAATTACCGATAACTGAAACCATATCATCATCTTCCACATTATCCCAAAAAGTGACAATAATGACAATCAACCAAAGAATCAACAAACAAACCAGCTTGAAAACTATATACTTGTGATATTGCTTTTGTTATATTTCAATTGAATTTGAATCCATGACAAAAAGCTTTTACAATGTATCAGATATTTGGTGGGCACACCAAGCAGAATACTAAATTATGCGAATTATGGGCAATTTAAAATTAGCAGAATTGAAAATCTGATAAAGTGTATAAAATATTAGATACCGGTAGGGATGGGGCGGTTTCATTAACTAACGGTTTGAACTCGGTTTGGTTTTTTGGAACCGTTCAAACCGGTTACACATGTTCAAATTGTGACATAAAAAATTTTTTTCATGATCGGATACATGCTGAAATGGATTTTGTGTTGATGAAAACTGGTTTTTGGTATGGACGTATTTCCAAAAGGGAGGATTCTATCATTTGAAATTGAAATTCATTATCTTTCTTGGTATTTTAATAAAGGTTCGTGTAATGTTGTTCAAAAAACTGTTCAAACTGTTCGAATCAGTTCCACGAAACCAAACCAACCGAACTCTTCATCCCTAGATACCGGAAAGGAAAAAACAGTACATTAACCGTATTTTTTACGGAAACAGAAAAAATGTACGGAAATATTCCTGTGAAAAGTGCAGAAAGAACTTGGAGATGGGTCTGGATGTGTATACATCCAAGCATGTGCATTATATACGAAGTTTGTTGGTTCACAGAGCAAATCCAGACATACGATCCGGACTTAATCCTGCTTTTATTGTGTATTTTTCTGGGGCCACACTTGGCATAGAGGTGCAGTTTTTGGATGTACATTTACAATGTATCCCCTTGCTAGATCTCACTATACATTTGATTGTTGTCAATCAATTTATTTTATACCATAGCATCATCAATGATGCATTTTGGCATTTAACATTAGTAATTAATATTAGTCATTCACTATTAATCATTCTATTTATTATATTTATTGGACAAAATCATGTAAAAAGTCATGTTGTTTGTAATACTTCAAGAAGTATAAATACACTTGAAAATTTCCTTCAATTTTTTAATAAAAACTGTAATTAATTAATAGAGCCGGTGTTATTGATTTCATAATCCTTTCTGATAATTAATGGTTTGGCTAACCTTTTAACTATTAGTTAGTAACCCTTTTGATTTTACTATATTGATTGTAATGACGCCTCAAGCAGTATATTTCTATTTTTTTTTAGAACATATGAAGCTGGAAAGAAAACCTTGCACTTGACCAGAACTAGGGTCTCTATTTGAATAAAATAAAAACAAATAATTTGAAATAAAACAAAGAATAATTAATTCGAAAATAAAATGAATAATTCAAAATAAAATGAATAATTCGAATAAGAATTTGCATTACAAATTTACAAATAGAACACTAGCGGAAATGAAGGTGAAATTTGAATTTTATTTATTGAGAGTAAAGCTCCGAAACGGGTCGGGCTAACCTGAAAGTTTTTAGGTCGGATTTAAAAATTTTGACACGAAAACTTTTTGGACTGTACCAATTATACTTGAGATCAAAATCATTAAATTGCAATTAAAAATCCTAAAAATTTGCATCATAATTTTATACAATTGACACAAGATGCAATTCGTGATGTAGTCTCAATCCATGGTGCAAATATGATTCATGACAATTTATTAGCTAACAAAACCTTTTTAGCTATGAAGCATTGATGTTAACATTAAAAATTAATAAATTAAAAAGTTTTCATGCAATAAATAAAGAGTTTTATATGTGGTTAAAGTTTGAATTAATTCATACACACATCATGGTTGTGTTTTGTATAGTGATGGTGGCTGAAATTATTTTAACAAATCTGAAATAGTTTATCCATAGAAATTAGGAATTTAGGCTCTTAAACTACTGACGAAACTTAAACTATGGGCAAACTCATAAACTGTGGTTAAATTGTCAAACCTATGACCAAAGTTTTATGATGATTATCATAAAAATAATGTCATTTTTTGACCCAATTCGTTTTGTAATAATAAAACAAATCAATTCTTTTTTTTTGTTCAATAAAACACTTTTGTAGTTGGAAATTAAACGGCAGAGTTTAATTGACCGTTCGGTTTTCACCTGCAGTTTAGGTTTCGCCAACTTCACCGCAAAATTGGGCCTAAACTATGATTAGTTCCGGCCGTCATCCACCAGCCTTGTGTCTTTAATTATGTATTGTGTCACGAATTGTCTTGAATTTCATCTTGCGTCACGAATTGCCTTGAGTTACGTCTTGCGTCACGAATTGAGTTCTACATCTCTTGCATCATGAATTGTGTTTTGTGTCACGCATGACACAAATTACAGCTTTTAAACCACTATAACTGTTTCGCCTTTTATATTTAATTAATTATTATTATCTGAATTTATGTAAACCACAAAATTTTTTTATTAACCCGAAATCAACCTGAAAATTTCGGGTCGGGTTTGCCTTTAAAACATTCGGGCCAAGCCCAAACCCGACTTGTTAGGAGCTTTAATTGAGAGGTATGCACTCAACTGATCATTACTATTATTTTTGTTGATATAACAAAAAAATTGAACAAGATACTGGGAAATAGATTTTTCTGCAATGATAAAAATCCAATTACAAAAAGTCTATGAGAAATACAACTTGAGAAAACAATGATGCTTCAATAAGTGATTCAGAAAGTAACGGTAAAAAATTATTTAATAAAAATAAAAATTAGATTCTAGATGATATTTTTTTTTTTAACATAGTTAGTGATTCTGATATTGAAAGCAAGTTCTAGAAAAGAAAGAATTGGTTGATGTGAGCCACATTAATGCCAACATACCAATAACAAAAAGAAAAGATCAAGCAAAGGTGTTATATGTGTTGAGTTATTATTATGAACTCAGGAGAAGGTAGATCATTGTCCACCATAGATATTTCATTTATTATAATGGCATTTATTTTCTGTAGCTCAGTCTTATGTGCACTGTTTGAAAAAATCAATGTTCTTTTGTATCTTCCCTCACTTTCAAGGGTGAGTGTATGGTCTTTTCACCAATGTTCTGGATGTTTCTCACAATCCATATTTTTGATGGCCAGTATCTGGTTCCTAAATTTGAAAATTTCTTCTTTCCTCAAGCATCAATGTGGCTAATACCAATACAAGCAGGATCTAGCTATCTATTGAAGGTGGTATTTTTTAGTGTGCCCTTTTCAATTGGGACAGACATCAAAGCTTTTAAATAAAATAAGGAATTTGACATTGTTTGACTCAACAAAACCTGTAATTAATCTACTATAGTTTGTGTCTGTTGTGTATTTTTGGAGGAAAGGATCATTTGGGACACCAAATCTGGAGGATGAGGAACCTCTTCTGGAAGTTGACTGCAATAGTGATTCAACTAGCAAATTGAAATGATTAGATGTGGGCCTTTTATTTGATAATTTAGGTATAATTTTTTATTATATTTAAATTATTCAGATACATGTATTAAATTTAAAATTTTATATTAATAAATTATTTATATATTATATGATATATTTATAAGTACATCACTTCAATTTGTCAATACTATAAAAAATGAAAACACTGATTTGAAAGGTAAGAAACAAACAATACTGCAGTTATGTATGTATGATAACAATGATTATTAAAAATTACATTTATTTTTTTGTTTAAAATCATTATTTTTTATTTAGTGTGCATATTTGACATCTGAATTTCAAAGTGAAAAAAAAATCCAAAGAAGTTATTATATAATATCATTCATTCATTACTCAAGATATTTAATATCACAACTATAGTAGCCAGATAAATAAAAATAAATAATAACTAATTTGAGTAATAAAGTGACAAGATTTAACTTATTCAAGTAAGTCATCTCTGGTATAACTAAATCAATCTGTTTATTATATAATATCATTCTCAAGATATTTAATATCACAACTATAGTAGCCAGATAAAAATAAAAATAAATAATAAATAATTGATATGTAATAAAATGACAGGATTTAACTTATTCAGGTAAGTCATCTGGTATAGCTAAATCAAATTGTTTAGAATCTACAAAATATTTATCACAAAAATTAATTTTAAATTAATAAAAATGAAAAAAATCAATGATTGAATATTAATAATTACCATTATTATTACCAATAATTGTTACTTTATTGGAATTCACAGGTTGGGGAAGGTTTGTAAAATTTAATAATCTGCTAGTATAAACTGCATTTGGATGAATTGTTGCAGTAATTGTTGAAGGATCAAATTTTATTTCATCCATTTTATCAAACTTTTTTCTAATTGATTTTAATTCATCATGCTGTTTTTTGAATATAAATATTTTTCAGGATTATCTATTATATGATCACTAAATGAATTATACCAAAAACCAATAATCTCACAAATTTCTTTAGCAGTTGGATGTTTATCTGGGTTAGCATCCATGCATTTGAATGCTAGTTCAATATAGAATTTTGGTGTATTGTTTGAGAATCCAGGTCTTGTGCCTTTACATATTTCCATTGCAAGATATTCATCATGTGCCAAATTATTAAATGGTTGTTGGCCAGTTGATACTACAGACATCAGAACTCCAAAACTATATATATCTGATGCTGTTGTATATGGTTCCTTTCTTAAAACTTCTGGTGCAATATATGGTAATACTCCACGTATATGATTTTTGTCTGATGATGATGTTTGACTAACTGAGCATGATAATCCCAAGTCTGCAATATATGCATATCTTCCATCTTGAAGAATATTACCACTATGAAAATCATGATGAATAATTTCTTTTTCATGAATATCTTTTAAACCACAAATAATAAAATAAAGAATTCTAATTTTGTTTTCCCATTTTAAAATTTTAAAATCTTTAGTTAAATAATTTTGAAGACTTCCATCTTCCATATATGCCATTACAAATATATATACTTTTGTAATTGGATCTTGTGTTAATCCATAAATATGAATTATATCATCTTTATCATGAAACTTCATATAATTTTTGAACTAAAACAACAAATAAAATATTAATTACATCAATAATTTTAAAAAACTGAAAATAAATAGAAAATAAAATAAAATAATTCACATCATTAAGAAATTCATCAGAAATATTCTGTGAATTATGCAGTTTTTTCAATGCCACAGTCCTATCTTTGCTAGTTCTTTTATTTACATAAGTATCTTTCTTACCATTTAACCAAGTAGCTTTGGATATAGTTGCAAACCCACCTTCACCGATCTTTTCAATATTTGTTAAATCATTATAAGGAATCCATTGAAGATAATGATTATTATTATACTTAGTTGCTTTAAGTTGTGTACTTTTAATCAACTCATCGAATGTTTTGTTGCCACTAGTCCACTCTTCAGTTAACAACTTTGGATTGCATGATTGACACCATGAACAATAAGTATTATATCTATTGCAAGTTGGACATTCCCCATATACTTTATATCTTTCCTTTGAATATTCATCATTTTTATCAGTAGAAGTATCATCATGATGTTTATTTTTATTTAGAGTGTTCTCCATTTGTGCATAATTTTTCAAAAAAAAATTTTTCATTTTTTTTTTCAGTCACAAATATGTACTCCTGTTGTATGTGAAAATGAAATTATGTGAATTGCGAATTCACATATGTGAAATTCAAATTTACATGTGTGAAATTCAAATTAGCCAATCAGAATTTCACTCCACTACATAATATTTCAATTTCACATAATTTCAATTTCACATACAACACTCCCAAAATATTTTAAAAAAATTTAAATTTTATCTGAATTACAACAAAAATTCAGCATTACATAAATAAATTTGGCATGACACCCTAAAGTCATTAAAGCCATAAACCGTAAATCTGTAATAAATATTGCAAGCGCGTAATCTGAATCATTGGAGTCACCAAATTTGGCAAACTAAATTATACGCTATACTGTTTGATTAGGGTTTCAATTTGAATAAGGTTTATTCAAATTATTTGTTTTACTCTATGAATGAGTATTCAATTTAAATTGGAAATTTATTCGAATAAAATGAATAATTCGATAATTCAAGTAGATAATTCAAATAAAACAAATAAACAATTTGAATAAAACAAATAAACGAATGATTTGAATAAATGAATAGTTTGAATAGTCCAAATAGTCCAAATAGTTCAAATAAAATGAGTAATTGGAATAATAATAAAATGAATAATTTGAATTAAAACAAGTAATTTGAATCAAAACAAAAAAAACGGACAATTCAAAATAAAATGAGTAATTTGAAATAAAATGAACAATTCTATAAAATGAATAAAATAAAAACGACGAATAAAGTAATTTAAATAAACTAAATAATTCAAATGAATAAAACAAATAAAATATTAATTTGAATAAACGAACAATAATAATTCAAATAAATGAATGATAACAATAAACAAATTACTTGAATAATTGAACAAAAATTTGTGAATAGAAATTCTACTCTATTACAGAGTCACCGCATCTGGCACACAGTCAATAATGTTCAAACTAAACTAAAATCACCATATACAACCACACTACTTGAGGCATCCCTATAAGCAATCTAGTAAAACTAAAGGGTTCCTAATTAAAAATTAAAGGTTGGCCAAACCACTAATCATTAGAAAAGGTTATGAATCAATCAATCATTAATTGATTACAGTCAAGGATTATTTTTATGTAAAAATGTAAGATAATATATTATTGAAAGATCAATTATTTATTGTTTTTATTATCAAAGCGTTAGGATATTATAATATTGAAAGATTATTTATTTATTTTTATTGATTAATTAATTCCTTTTCACTGAAGCATATTTATACTTCTTGAAGTATTACAAATAACATGACTTTTTACATGATTTTGTCCGATAAAATAAAATAGAATGATAAATGATGACTAATTGACAATTACTAATGTTAAATGTCAAAAATGTGTCATTGATGATGTCATGATTAAATGATACCTGATGTGAAATTATTTGGTAGTGTGGGCAGATGCGCAATGGGTGTGTATTTTCCATTTCATGCAAGTGGATCCATTTTTCTTTGGCTGTAGGAAGGCTGTAGGTGCCAATTTCTTTTTGAAAAAGGGAGTTCTAGTTTTTAATGTACTTGTAATGCCATTTCCATTGGGAAAACATCAAAGCTTCCAGATCAGGGTTTTCAAATAAGATCAGGAGATTGACATTATTCAATTCAAATCAGTCTACCACATAAGTTTTGTATCTTTGTTGTGTATATCTGGAGGAAAGATAATCGAATCTGGAAGACAGGGAACCTCTTCTGGAAGTTGACCACAATAATGGTTCAACAAGTAAATTGAAATAATAAGGCACAGGCTTTTTATTTGATAATACAAGTATAATTTTTATTATATTTTAATTATTCAGATACATGTATTAAATTTAAATTTTTAAATATATTTTTATATTAATAAATTATTTATATATATATATTATAATATATTGATAAGCAACACTACTTCAACTTGTTAATACTATAAAAGATGAAAATATTGGTTTGAAAAGGCAAAAAATAAATAATACTGTGATTATTAAAAATTACATTTATTTTTTTATCAAAAATCATTATTTTAATATGCATATTTGACATCCAAACTTTCAAAATGAAAATAAAAATCCAAAAGATATGATAATTGTGAGAAGTTATTACCTTTATATAATATCATTATTAAATATGAATAATCAAATTAATTTAAATATTTGTATCCATTAGATGAGAAACTATAATTTATATCTATTAGATGAGAAACTATAATTAAAACATAATAATGTTAATATTGATACTAAATTTTAAAATTAATAATTGAATAATCAACTAATGATAATTACCATTATTATTACCAATAATTGTTACTTTATTGGAATTCACAGGTTGAGGAAGACTTGTAAATTTTAATAATCTGCTAGTATAAACCGCATTTGGATGAATTGCTGCAGTAATTGTTGAAGGATCAAATTTTATTTCATCCATTTTCTTAAACTCTTTTTCAATTGATTCATCTTGATACCAATACCAAATTTTAATGTTCTCATAAATTTCTTCAGCAGTTGGGCGTTTATCTGGATTGGCATCCATGCATTTGAATGCAAGTTCAATATAGAATTTTGGTGTATTGTTTGAGAATCCAGGTCTTGCACCTTTACATACTTTCATTGCAAGGTATTCATCATGTGCCAAATTATTAAATGGTTGTTGACCAGTTGATACTACAGACATCAAAACTCCAAAACTGTATACATCTGATGCTTTTGTATATGGTTTCTCATTTAAAACTTCTGGTGCAATATATGGTAGTACTCCACATATATCATTTTTGTTTGATAATGATGTTTGACTAGCTAGACATGATAATCCTAAGTCTGCAATATATGTAAGACCATAATTTTGAAGAATATTACCACTATGAAAATCATGATGAATAATTTCTTTTTCATGAATATCCTTTAAACCCACAATAATATCATATAGAATACAAATTTTGCCTTTCCATTTTAAATTTTTAAAATCTTTAGTTAAATAATTTTGAAGACTTCCATCTTCCATATATTGCATTACAAATATATATTCTTTTGTAATTGGATCTTGTGTTAATCCATAAATATGAATTATATCATCATTTTCATGAAATTTCACATAATTTTTGAACTAAATAAATAAAATATTAATTATGACAATAATAATCAATAATATTTAAAAAATCTGAAAACAAATAAAAAATAAAGTAATTTACCTCATTAAGAAATTCATCAGAAATATTCTGTGAATCATGTAATTTTTTTAATGCCACAGTCCTATCTTCACTAGTTCTTTCATTATCATCATTTATATATTTATCACCATTTAACCAAGTAGCTTTGGATATAGTTGCAAACCCACCTTCACCAATCTTTTCAATATCTGTTAAATCATTGTAAGGAATCCATTGAAGATAATAATAATTACCATATCTTGATGCTTTAAGTTGTGTACTTTTAATCAACTCATTTAATGTTTCATTGCCACTAGTCCATCCTTTAGTTAATAGTATTGGATCACATGATTGACACCATGAATAATAAGTATTATATCTATTGCAGATTGGACATTCCCCATAATGGTATTCTCTTTTATCTGAATGTTCAGTATCATCATTTTTGTCAGTAGAAGTATCATCACTATGTTTATTTTTATTTGAAATGTTCTCCATTTATGCATAATTTGTCAAAAAAAATTTTTTTCTTTAAATTTTTTTTCAGCCACAAATATATGTACCTCCACAAAATATATTATTCTGTTAAAAAAATTTAATTGGTGATCTGCGACACAAAAACAACTAATTGAGTACCTTTGCATGAAAAGTTGTACTATGTTTTTGTTCCACCACATAATTTTTTTTACGTCCACAAACAAAACAAATCCCAAAGAACATATTAATATTATCAGTTTTTTTTTTGTCTTTACTTAAGTAAAAAAAAAAGTTTACTCTTTAGCATCTGTAGATTTTTAAGAATTTTCATATAAAATTTTTATATGTTCCGTGTAGTATTTGTGATTTATTGTCTTTACTTACTAATTAGATGATGTATTTTCAACTGCCTGTCTTTTGTGATATTGAAGAGAAGGATTATTTTCAGCTTCTAATTCGTCAGTTTCAACAAGTCTTTGAAGTTCTTTTAACATATCCTTGAGAGAGTATTTTTTCCTTTTTTCTATATTACCAGCTAAAAACATGATTTTTAATTGTTCAATCACATTTAAATCAAACTTCTTACCACCTGTTTTCCCATACTCTTTAGAGCAAACCCAGGTTCCAATGCTCTTTTACAAATCTTCCATCAGAATATTATGTAATTCGCATCTCATTAATAAATTAACATATAAAAGATATATACCAACATAACCGGCACCAAGACAACAAATTTTTCTTACTGATGACATTTTATTAATTAATTTGTATATTTATAATTAGAATTTTTTTTTAATATATTAAAAATAAAAACTATTTTTTTTTTTATTTTTATTTTGATAAACGAACGAGTCGATCCAAAACATTGCAATACATCACAGGCTGGTAAATATTACACCAAATAAATTCGAAAGCACTTTTATTATTATTATATATATAATAATAATAATAATAATAATAATAGTAATAGTAATGGTTTTGCATTCGGTAATTGATTAAATAATCTTTAAAGGAATTTTTTGAAAAACAAATATAGTTCGAAATTCATCATGTGTGTAAACCTTTATTAAAATGGCACCGTATCACATTTTAATAGATTCGGAAAATAACCGTAGAATTTTTTGTTTTTTTGGAAAGTTTCTTTGAATTTCACAACACATCTTTAAATTAATAATGTTACCCAGTCCCAAAAGTTGGAACCAAAGAGCAAGAAGGCCGGTTCAAACCTATATAAAACCCTATCTTTAGTAGCCACGTGATAGTAACAAAATCCATTCAAGAACAATTGATTTTTTAAAATTCTTTCATCAAATTCGTCAGGCCATTGAACTTTTAAATTTCATCAAAAACTTTAGTTCTGATGTCGCCACCATTAGTATTTATAATAATGGATTTGCATTGTCAGATGGTAAACTTTAATAAAATTTGTTCTTTGGAGTTCCAAATAATAAAGCTGTCACTAACACTGATGAAATCTATTTGATTTCCTTATCCTAATTAATAAATATCAGTGATAATGTAATTAAATTATCTCCTTTAACCAATCCATCGCACGTATTACCGGAAGACAGATTAGAAGAACAGTGGAAGAATTGGAAGAAGAGGTTGAAGTTATATTATTGACTAAAAGTGTCAACACTTTTGAATTTTGTAATCAATTCTACATATTTTGAATGAAAAAAACCAAATTGCTGCACCGCAATCATCAATTACTCTCCATTATTCAAGGAGGATAATAATAAATTTTCTATACCGGAATTAAAACCTAAACCTCCAGCTAAACCAATTTTGACATTAAATGTTCTTTTGAAAATTTCTGTTTAACCGTTTTTTTTTTTTTCAAAAAATAAAAGTCAACATCGCTTGTACATTGAATTTTATTATTAGTAAATAAATATCTTAATATAGTCCTTATTAATAGTAGTTGTTTGGCATTAAAAAAAATACACAAGATTACAAATTAATAATAATAACTGTGTATTTTATGGTTGATAATAAATTAATTAATATTAATGAAATAAGTAATAAGTTATTATAAAATAATCATTTATAAAAACACATTGAAACAACCGATAATACTGGCAATAGTAATGATCAAAAGTCCAAAATTTGAATTGTCGAATAAAGATTCTGAATTTGATTTAGGTGCATTCGTTGACGGTGATGATGGTGATGTAGTAGCGGCGGTATCAGAGTTAGTAGTGGCGACTGCGGATGTTGTAGGTACAGGTGGTACGTATGTAGTAGCTAAGAAAAAGAATTCGTGATTTATTATTAAAAAAAAAAATAATCATAAAATAAAACGACACTATTCAAAAAATTTTGCTTACGAGTTGTTCCAGGTGCTTTGATTTCAAATTGTTCAGAAGTTGTATATATATCTGCAATATTTGCAACATTTGTAAATCTAATCACAAACCCCGTAAGTTTTAAAAAAGTTTATTTTATCAATCAATCAATCGATCAATCAATCAATCAAATCAATTATATTGATCAATTATATCGATCAATGAATTTCTTTTAAAAAAAAATAATAGAAAATTCCAGACTTGTCAGATTTTGCCATTGCCAACACAGTTAATACAACACTTGGTGTAACTACTGTTCAAATTCCGCCTAGTCTAGTTAATACTGGTAATTATTTTTGAAAGACGGAGGAGGAAGGCAGGCATGTGGGATATTGATTTATTTA